AGGCAATCCATATTTTGTTACACTATAGTATGAGGAAAAAAAAAAAAAGCTGCAAGAAAGGCGCCTATAACTTGACGTTTAATGATAATTCTAAAGGAAATGTCTTCAAAGAGAAACTTGCTTTTAGAAAATTATAATGAAATTCGGCAAGTCGATCAATGTAATACAAAGTCGATTACCATTCATATTCTTTTTTTATTTTTTAATTTTTTATTTTTTTTCCTTTCTTTTAATTAAAAATAAAAAAAGAAAGAATGTCAGTTTTAAAAGACTAAATAATGAGTAAACAAAATGTGCGATCTTTCTATTTGGAATTAAAGAATTCTTTCAAGTGATGTTGCATCCATCACTTTGATCATTGTTTCGCTTTGTTTGGAAATGATTTAGAACATTTCCGAGAAACACGAAGACTTTTAAAATGCAAACAATGAATTCATCGTATGAAGAGTCAAAACTTAAAAAAAAAAAAAAAAATCTTTTCGAATTTTTTTTTAACATAAAAAAGCTGCTTTTAATTTTATTTATTTATTTTTTTTTTTGTTGACATCTCATTTAACGTTCAATCTTTTCTTAAATTTCAATGATAGACATGAATAAATTTATTTTTATACTCATTTTCATTTTCACCTCATTTGACGCTAAAGTTGTGGCATTAACCCCAAAAGCTCGGCATTCACATTCGTCTATTGTGGTAGACGGAAAGGTTTATTACTTTGGCGGAAGCACACCTACTACAGTGGGATCACAAATCTTGAGTAATGAAATGTTTTATTTCGACATTACAAAGGAGTTTGACACATCATCCATTTTATGGATGGATCAAACCGGCACTAGTCCAATGTCAGTTCAAAGCGAAGGCGCAACAACGGTTGTCGATGGTAAAGATAATAATACGATTTTTTTGGTCGGAGGTACAATGTTTCATCCCAAAACAAATACTTTAGAAATGAATGCATTGGTTTACACTTTTAATATTAAAAATCAAATATGGAGTAAAGTGGAAGTTTTAGGAGAAACTCCACCGGGAAGGAAACAAGCTAAAGGAGTTATTGATTCCAGTGGGAAGATTTACTTATTCCGTGGTATCAATGCCAATTATGTGTCAGGTGGTGTCATTGGATATCTTGGCGGAATGGAAATTTTTGATACTAGAAGTTTATCATGGTCCACTGTGCCCTCTGATAACACTGAATGGAGAGGTCAATATTCTTCTACCATTCTAGAAAATGGAAACATCATTTATATAGGGGGACAGACCATGTCAATGGCGGATGTGGATATAAGCAAAGTATGTTAGTTTATATAGGGTCGCACATATTCTCGGTCTTCTTAAATTGATCTTAAATTTATATTTTCAGGCGTATATTTATAATACCAATACGGCCATTTGGTCGCAAGAGGTAAGACCAATTTATAAAGAAAACTTTTTTTATTTTTATTAGTGACAGATTTAAAACGTTGATTCTATTTATATAGGGAATAAAAGGAAATGCTACTATAACGATAGATAATAGATATGGACATTCCGCAGTTTTATGTAATTATTTTTTTTTTTTTTTTTTTTTTTTTGCCGCTTTCAAATTTTTATAGCTTTCAATAATAAAAAAAAATTTTTTTTTTATTATATGAAAAAAGATAAAGGAAAGATAGTTATATACGGTGGAGCAAAGGGTTTAAATCAAGTAACACCCAATCCGAGTCTAATTTTCCTGAAAGTGGATGGTGGGCAATATGTTTGGGAAACTCCTCAAACTTTAACGATTGATAATCCACCACTACCGGTATCGCACCATTCTGCCGACATAGTTGGAGATTATATGATTGTTGCATTTGGTAACTAGTCTTTTACTTGAATTGTATCAAAATAAATAAAAATATTATATTAAAGATTTTTTTTTTTTTTTTTTTTTTTCAAGGAAATGTTACAAATAATTTAACATTACCAACTAGCGCAAACGATAAAGTATTTTTATTTAATCTAGAAACTTATAGTTGGGTTTCTCATTTTAATCCACCACCTCCATCAACTGATACTGATGCTAATCAACCCAAGAATCCTTCAAAGGGCGGCGGGGATAAACCAAATTTTTCTGATGAAAGTAATGGATGTTTAACACCATCAAAAACTTTTGTAATGGGAATAATCATTAACGTAATTATTATCCTTTTGCTTAATCACTTCATCTTGTTCTAATGTAAGTTTTTTTTTTGGAAAAAAAATTTTTATTAATTCAATTTTTTGTTCTTTATAAAAACGATTAATCTTTACAGGTGATTATCCTCAACTTTTATTTATTTAATTGATTTATAAATTGTTACCAAAATTACAATTATTGCATTTGTATTATTATTTTAATAAAATATTCTTTATGTAATATTGTTATTGTAAAACGGAATAAAATATTGATCAAACGATCATTGGTAATTTCGAAATTATAATTTTTGGCTTAAATTAACAAAATGAGGTCCAATAAAAATATTTTTGATTTTACTATCGTTTTAGTAAACTTTATCTTTTTATAATAAACTTTACAATGGAAAGGTAAATTTTGATTATAGTTTCAAATTTCGACATACTGCATTAAGCGAATGGTATATTGGTCATTTTTTGTCTAATTACATATTGGTTACAATCGTTATAATTTTCTGTGATAATGTAATCACATTTGGAGGGAAGTTCGATGATTGGTCGATTCAATCGGGTTTGAATTAAATTTAATTATTAAATAATTAATTTTATATTTATATTGTTCATTTGTATCAAATTTTTCTTTATTAATTGACAGTATTAAAAAAAAAAAAATAAATGAAAAATGAAAAATTAATGTCTCCTTTTTAAATCAACATAATGGATCATTTTCTCATGACCTATTTATATTTTCACGGAATGGATTATTATCTCTTGAAAAACAGTGTGTAGTGAAAAGTCGTTTTAACTTGCTTTAGTCATAAATTGTAATTAGTGAACGAGACAAAATTTATTATGAAAAATTTTATTTAGAACATTTATTATTGGACCAATAAATGAATTTTTAAAATTTCGTTTCGCCTATCGTAAGGTGAATTGTCTTGACAATATTTTGAAATATTAATTATCGCCACCGTTGATATTATTAAGTCACGTTTTTGCAGTCACGCTTTTTAATATATTGATTTATTAAAATATTTCAAATCTACGTAGATTAAAAAAATTTTTTTAGAAATTCCCATCAAAATTGGTAAATTTTATTTAAAAATTTTGTTAATACAACCATTAACTTTTCAACGGATTATTGACTGCTTTGATATAATCTTTTCTTTAATGTTTTCCAACGAACCAAACAAGCGTTAGGATTTCTATCTTTTAAACAATGAGAAATTTTTGACCAAGAGGGACTTGGCATATCTTCTAAAATTTTATCAACCAAAATTTTGTCTTCTTCCGATCGCCATACATTTTTGACTTTAGGAGCTGTAGAACTTTTGGTATGCGCAGCTGACTTCTTAGATTTGTTAGATGATTTCTTAACTGATGTTTGTTTATTTGCTGATGTTTTGTTTTGAGATGATGATAATTTTCGAGATGGCATCAATTCATCTACATCTTCACTTTCATCATCATCTGATTCATCAAGTTCGTATATGTTTAAATTTGTTGACTTGTTTTCCTCTTCTTTAATCTCTTTAGAGTTCAGTCCTTCAAGATCTTCTAATTCCATCATTTGGTTAGTGGCGGTGATCTTTTTACGTTTAGCGGGAACCGTGTAATTAGCAGTCCTTTTCTTTGAAATTTCCTTTAATGAAGGAGGTCTTGTTGATGGTGGTGGTTGTTGTTGTTGTTGAGCTAAGCCGCAAGGTTCTTGTTGATCAGGCGTTGAAGGTGGTGGCTGTGTTGGGACTTCATCTATCTAGAAAAACAAAAAAGGACCAATGTTTTTTAGAAAAGATCTTCGCGAAAATAAATAAGTAAATCGTTGTCATACATGATTGAGAGTAACAACATCGTTTTTAGATCTTTTCTTGATAGAATCACCGGTTAAATTCGTTTCCATCTTGTATCTCGCTCGTCTCACAAATAAAGAGAAAACTTGTTTTAAAAATGAAAAAGATGGGAAAACCTGTGAGAAAAAACAAAAGAAACTGACGAGTTATTCACAAAAAAAAACATTATTCTATTTATAATGACAAAAATAATACATTAATTGATGGTGACATCACATAATACAAATTCTATTTTATTTTTTTTTTTATTTATTTTTTTAAGAGCGAACTGAAAATACATTAAAATTATTATATTGATTATATTGATTATATAAAAAGAATACCAATAATATGAATTTATGAGTAAATTATCTACAACAATTCAAAATATTAAAAATATATGTATATAAATATATAATAAAAGAGATTCTAAAAATCGAAGATGCGACCTGCGCCACACATGAAATACTTTCTACACTAAATATTTGTAAAATATTAATTATGAATTATGATTACAATGATTACAATGTTGAAAATATCAATTGCGACATTATGACTCAATTCAAGATCCAGTTTGTACTTTTCTCCTCAAAACTCGAAGGAAAGATCATTTCCCAATAAGTTTCGGGAACGGCCATGGTAATTCTATGACAAAATTCAACCCCAGTTTCAAATCCACCATAAATTGTCATAACGACAGCACCAAGGGCGGCCGATACGACCACGAACATAAATACGATATCACCGACTAGCACCAATACAGGTAATAATATTGATCCAATAAGTAATGTCATGAATGCTGTAAACGAATAATTAGTTGGTTTAAATAATCCATTGGAATAAATTTGTTTGTATAATTGATATTCGAATTTACAAATCATTGGAACGTAAAGAATCGTAAATGTGAATATCGTTGTCGGGATTGCAGTTGTTGCGTAATATGGTAAAATCGCTAGGGCCGAGAGTAATCTTTGCGGTCGGAATCGGTTAAATGATGGTTTGCAACTTGCAAAACTTTGAAATTTGGCTGGGATAAGAGATGAAATTGTTTCGTAGGTTTCTAATAATGCCATTTTTTTTTTTTTTTTGCGTGGTAATTTTAGTTTTGTGGTGTTAAAAGATATTAATACGCGCTGCAATATATGATTTATTTTTTTTTAGAATAAAGTTTGAGTTGGAAGATTTGCGGTTCGAAATTTTTTTTTTTTAAAAAAAAAAAAAGAAAATTGTGTTTCAAAAAGTATCAAAATAATTTAACAAACAATCGAATAAATCAGGAAATTTGGCTCAAAGTGAAATTGAAATATTTTAAAAGGAAACAGATTAAGGAGAAAAAAATTATAAACGATATTTTATTGAATTTTATAGTCAAACCTAGGGTAAAAAAAAAAAAAAAGCTCTTACTTTTTATCAAATAGGTTTGCCACCCAATAAGATCACGAGTCCATTAACATGTATCCGGTGACATTCAAATTACTTCCGAACATGCATTAAATATTTCATTTGCATGAATAAAGAAGATTCCTTATAAGGGAAAACTGATGTTCATTATGTTTACGATTTACCATTGCTTCATATTCTATTATAAATCTCTTGATTGAAAGTTAAGTTGTATGACGTAAAATTCGGAACCGTAATGTTATATAAAGGGAAATCCCGCCGACTTGAATTGTGTTTGCAATGTAATGTTTACCAACATAAATCACTCCCTTTCATTTAAAAATAACCGTTGCATACGCAGCAATAAAGAATTCAAAAAATTTTTTTTTTTTTTTTTTTTTTTTTTTCAATTATGCAATAATCACACCATCATTTTATCATACGATGGTTCATCTTTTTAATTTACGTTTCCTGAAATGAAATTCTAACTTATTTTAGGTAACAAAAATGATATTAAAATGATTGTAATAATACTAAATTACTAAAAGTCAATACGTCATGCATTGATCACGTGAAGTAACCGGATGTGTATTATTAACTTAAACCAGATAAATTTATTACCTAAATATTTAAAGGGATTCGTAACATAATTTTAGCTTACCTCCCATATATTTATTAACTTTTAATATTTTCATAAAATAAACTGATAAATCAATAAAAAATCATTATTAATTACTTAAAATTCAATATATTAAATTGATAACTAAATTTTAAATAACTAATAAATAATATTACATTATATATTTTTTTATATAACTTACTATATTAAATATATGTTTAATAAATTTGGTTGAAATTAAATAATATTAATTTAACTTAATAAATATATTAATTTATTTATTTTAAATATAAAATAATACTATCTGTAAATAAAAATTAATATTAAATAATTAATATATTTTATTTAATAAAATATTTTATATTAAGATTTTTTAAGATAAAAAAATAAAAATAAAAAATAAAATATTTAAATAATCTTAATTAATTAAAAATATTAACTAAGATTGCTTATCTAAACCTATTCTAGATTTAGCAAAAAAATTTAAATCTTTAGTTTTACTAAAGTTTTGATATAATTTTACCATTTTTATATAGTTGATATAGATTTTCTTTTTCAGGATTTTGCAAATATTTTAATATAATTGTTGCTAACTTTTTGTTTTTTCTATTTATATGATTTATAAAACCTCTAAATTTCATCTAATAATCTTAATATTAATTTTAATTTAAAAAATAATTATTAATTATATCTAAATATGTTAAATTTATTAATTAAAATAATTTAAAATAATATTAATAAAATATTTTATTTTATTTGAAAAAGTCTTATTTAAAATTTTAATTAAATTAAATTAATATTAATAATATTTATAATATTTTTACTTGTAAATTTAATATTAATAATTAATAAATTAATATTACAAAAATTTAAAATAATTTATTTTATTTTAAATCTAATTAATTTAATAATTTATTTATAAATTAATAGGATTTTATATATTAAAAATATTTTAAATTTTCAAAAAATAAAAATAAAAAATATAATATTAAATAAAATATTTTTTAAAATAATAAAATAATATTAATAATATATTAAAAAATATATTATAATATATTTAAAATATTATAAATAATATTATCTTTTAAACTATAATTATAAAATCGTTTTAATATTTTAGAAATCTTAAAATTAAAAATGGCACTTCAATTAGTTGCAACAGGTGACAAATAAGCATCACAATATTATAATGAATTGCAAAATTATTAAAATTTAAGTTACAACAGGTGACAAATAAGCATCATAATATTGCAATGTCATCTTTACTTAAAATATTTTGATATCTA